CGGAGTCCATTGTATGCATAATCATTTCCAAAGTCGGACCGTGGATGTGGTACATTCCCAGACGTTTCGCTGGCATCGTCAGTGAGTCTCGCCATTCTTAGCATCACAACTCGTCAGAGACAAGTGAAGCCGATCCTTTGAACAAACGTATGCTAAACAGTTGTGTTATCTCCCCTTCTGCCTTGAGCTAATCACATTTCGTAGGCCGATTTTTCTTCCTGTTTCATCGATATACTTCTGCTCACAGTTGCCACATTTGGTGCGATAAATTCCCGAGTAATCAAGTTTGTCCGTCTTCTATTGCTTCGGCAGACTGGTGAAAAGTGTTTTCTTCTCTGTTATCATCCTGATGTTCCATTTCCTTAGTAACGGTCGCAATTGTTGGCACAGTTCTGATGAGGGAAGGCATATCCATTTTTGGTTGTCATCCTGATTCCTGATCTGATTTTCATAAAATCCAAGTTGAAATCAGCCCTTAATAACCTCTGCATTTTTTTCTATAAATTCTCTTGGGTATCTGTTACTTAGGCAAATCGATGTCATTTTGGCTAACTTCTCGTCCCAGAACTCAGTGTCTATTTGTCGTAAGCTTCTGATGATCAAACTGCTAAGTATTCCGATTTTCAATCTGTTATTATATTGAGACTAAAAATTAAGGATTATTCTAGCATATGATTTTTCTTCTATATAGTCTCCTCATGCGTGTCCCTTTGGGGTCCGTAATTTCATCAAAACTAAGCCAAAAATTGCGACTGTTATTAAGGAAATTTAATAACAAGGTGATAATAATAAAGGATAAGAAAACACTTCACCTGTCTGCCGAAGCAACACAAGACGGACCAACTTGATTACTCGGGAATTTATCGCATCAAATGCGGCAACTGTGAGCAGAAGTATATCGATGAAACAGGAAGAAAAATCGGCCTACGAATCAAGGAACATCATAGACTGCAGGAGCATGGATACGAACAGATCCGAAATAGCGGAACACATTGCACGAATGGGGCACGAAATCGACTGGAAATCGATTAAAAGGTTGATTGTATATGGTGAAAATACGAGAAAACGCAAGATCCGAGGGTCCATCGATATACTGACCGAGAGAAATCTAATGAACAGGAGACTTGAAGAAGGCAGGATTACGGAAAACCTTGCATATTGCCTAAACAAACTCGGAGAAGACCAGCAAAAAGAAGCCGAATTGATCAAGGTCATATCCTTAATTTTAGGAAAAGAGATCACAGGGGGATGAGAAAGGAACAATCAGAAGCAAAGAAGAGACGTCTTCAGTGAGCCTAATCAAAACAAGTAGAACTAGGACAATTGTGGGTTGGCACACAGGAGACTAGGACGTAGGAAGTGATAGACATGGTATTACAGATATAAATAGGAAGGACGCGTTGGAGACTAAAGCTATTTGGCTAATAATATACGTGTTTGATTATAAACGTGATCCTCGAATCACGATTATTGTTAGTCAATCAGCTCTAGTTTTCATTGCTTTTATCCTCTTTCTATCTATAATATTAAGTCTATGACTTCCAATGCCCTAGTCTCTTGTGCTAACCCGCAAACGTTGTGGTTCTACATTGAACCTAACCAAAGCAAGCAGTACAACAACATTTGTGGGTTGGCACACAAGAGACTAGGGTATGACAAGTAATAGACTTAGTATTATGGATAGAAACAGAATAGATGTGGCGGCGATCGGAGCTAGTTGGTTGACAGTAGGTTTTCTAAGAGACGTGATCCATGTGGCAAATACGTGACGATGAGACGTACTTAGATGCTTGAGCCTCGAATTAGTCACCCAGACGCAGTCGAGGGCGAATTATGCCTCAAGTGGCAGAGGTCGAGTGAAATACGTGAACCAGAGAGAGAGTAGACGGATCTTACGGAGCAAGAGAGAGACTGTGATAAGACATGGGGAAGGAGGACCGCATAACAATATGGCAGACTGATCAATATTCTCAGCACAAGGGTGAAGGGGGTGAGAACGACAGCTTGGAGTGTGAAGGCTTTTCATAAATGCCGCTCAAAGGAGCAAACCACACTACATCACAATAGGCACAATAAAAATTGTGATAGTGAAGGCGTGATAGGAGGATATAGGAAATGTGAATAGCTTAAGGCAGAAGGGGCGATACCACAACTGTTTAGCACACGTTTGGTCAAAGGATCGGCTTAACTTGTCTCTGACAAGTTAAGTGGTGCTAAGAATGGCGAGACTCACTGACGATACCGGCTGAACGTCTGGGAATGTACTACGTCCACGGTCTGACTTTGGAAATGATCATGCATATAATAGACTCCGGACTAGATGCGTTCATCTAAGTCTTCCTACCAATATGACCAAATTGCGGAATCAATGTCAAACAACCTCTATAACTATTTCTATTCTAATATTTATTTTTTGAGTAATTTGTGATCAATGAATCTCCAGAGTTTCACAATTTCTGTTAACTCTCTTTCCGTCTTGAAAGTCGCATAGGCCCCTGAAATAGCTCTATTTTTCGTTTATAGGTTGGATTTCGTGACTATCACTATATCTATATTTTTCTATTCGCTTGTTAAATATTCCATCCTCTCAGTTACCTTGCACTTTTCAAGATGTGGTGTGATATAATTTTTAATGACCGTCTTATTGTCTCATTTTTGTCCCATTTCCCTTTCTTCTTTCAGCCTGATTTGCTATTCCCGACAATTATTCTCTATCATCACCCAGTGGGTTTGCATCTCGCCAGAGTCGACCTTTGACAGCCTTCGGTTCGCTTCGTTTGATGCTGGAGATAACTTAGTCGGCACTTCACTTCTTTCTAGTTCTCTCTTATTGACTAACTCTTCGTTGCCATGGTGCATACGGACTCTTCGTTCCGCTTCTACTCGTCTTCGCGATCAGTTCACTCAGAATGCCATCTCTCCAGCCACTACAGATAATGCCAGGGTTCCTAGTAATAATGAAGCTTTTCCCCATCTAACAGGAAGTTTTGGGTCCACCATTCAAGCTCGTTCGACTGTTCATGCCCTGCCGACGAAACTGAATTCTATGATTCAGCAAATGCGCGATTATATTGATGTTTTTTATAATGACATGTGAGTTTACCTACCGACTAACAACTCGGCCTATACAGGTTGATTTTTTACATTAAAATCACACAGCATTATTATGATGCCATGCGAAATACACCATAAATCTAATGGGCAACTTTTAAGATGTGACCACAACCCTCCCTGTCCATTCCCATGCAGAATTCATGTATTTCGTTTCTAAATATCTTTGTGCAATCACTGATAATACATACTCTATATACGTTAGTGAATCCATTGTATAGGCTTTTATCTGGTTTTGTTATTCATCATGGATTTTATAAGTGGGCTCATTTGTAAAGCCTTAGATATATTAAATACTGATAAGGCATCCAAATTCACGGCGCATAAGAGAGATTCTTGAGGCAAGTCCAGTCTAAGTCAGGTATAATTATTTCACTGCGGGAAATCCAACTATAGGTTTTCACATCATCTTTAAACGGCTTAAAGTGATTTAATTTCTTATCAAAGATTGATTTCCATCAATGCCATATCTTGCACACGACATTAACTTATAAATAAAAAGAAATGATATAAAATAAGCTTCTACACTAATCACTTGCCAAGTAAACAAGGCACCCACCGTTTTTGGTTTACTCGAATCTCGCTGAGGCTCTGGATTGACAATGAGTTATCGAAAGAAATGGGAATCCTCTTATTTCCGAAGATAAATGCCCATTCTTTTGTATTTAGTGACACGGAATTTCTCCCACGTCATATAAATGATGGCTGATGACCGTTGTTCTGAAGCCGTTTGGTTTCGATACGACGTTTATGTTCGGGCAGTCACAAGATATCCTTTCCCGCTTCGGATGAAAATGTGTTGAGCTTTCCTTTGTCATATTACCAACATCGTCAGAGCTCGAATTCATATTTGCCAAAGTTTTAAGTTAACATTAAGCCAAGAGTTTATGTTTTCATACTCCATGGGGATAGTGGTAATCTGAAATTAGCTTTATTTAATTTTGCCATAAATTGTTTGAGTAGAGAAACTAAACGAAGACTGCATGCATCTGTAATAACAATCGATGATGATTATTATTGAATAAAATAGCATGATGAACTGACGTGATAATGAATATATGCTAAAT